ATGACTTCCTGGACAGCTATCATTTGCCAAAACTAAATCAAGAACAGATAAGCAATTTAAATAGACCTATAACCCCTATGGAAATAGAAGCTGTCATCAAAAGTCTCCCAACCAAAAAAAGCCCAGGTCCAGATGGCCTCAGTGCAGAATTCTACCAGAAATTCAAAGAACAGCTTATACCAATTCTTCTCAAAGTATTCCATGCAATAGAAGCAGAAGGGTCTTTGCCAAACTCTTTCTATGAGGCTTCAATAACCTTGATCCCCAAGCCACACAAAGACACAACTAAGAAAGAGAACTTCAGACCAATATCCCTCATGAACATTGATGCAAAAATACTCAATAAAATACTGGCAAATCGGATCCAAGAACACATCAAAACAATCATCACGATCAAGTAGGTTTTATCCCAGGGATGCAGGGATGGTTCAACATACAAAAATTCATCAACGTAATCCACCATATAAACAAGCTGAAAAACAAAAATCACATGATCATCTCACTAGGTGCTGAAAAAGCCTTTGACAAAATCCAACACCCCTTCATGATAAAGGTCTTGGAGAGATCTGGGATAACAGGAACATACTTAAACATAATAAAAGCTATATACAGTAAACCAACAGCCAACATCAAACTAAATGGACAGAAACTCAACACAATTCCTCTAAAATCAGGAACAAGACAAGGCTGTCCACTCTCTCCATACCTTTTCAACATTGTACTTGAAGTTCTAGCCATTGCCATACGACAACAAAAGGGGATCAAGGGGATACAAATTGGGAAGGAAGAGTTCAAACTTTCACTGTTTGCAGATGATATGATAGTTTACATAAATGACCCAAAGAACTTTACCAGGGAACTCTTACAGCTGATTAACACCTTCAGCAAAGTGGCAGGCTACAAGACTAACTCAAGAAAATCAGTAGCCCTATTATATACAGATGATAAAAGGGCTGAGAAAGAAATCAGAGAAACATCACCCTTTACAATTGCCACAAACAACATAAAATACCTTGGGGTAACGCTAATCAAACAAGTGAAAGACCTGTATCGCAAGAACTTTGAACCGCAGAGGCAGGCGGATCTCTGTGAGTTCGAGGCCGGGCTGGACCGACAGCCTCCAAAACAAGAGAAACCCTGTCTCATAAAAACAAACAAACAAACAAACAAAAAAGAAAGAAATTAAAGAAGCCCTCAGAAAATGGGAAGATTTCCCATGCTCTTGGATAGGTAGGATCAATGTAGTAAAAATGGCAATCCTGCCAAAAGCAATCTACAAATTCAATGCAATCCCCATTAAAATCCCAGCACAAGTCTTCACAGACTTTGAAAGAACAATAATCAACTTTGTATGGAAAAACAAAAGACCCAGAATAGCCAAAACAACCCTGTTCAACAAGGCAACACCCAGAGGCATCACCATCCCTGACTTCAAGCTCTATATTATAGAGCTATAGTCCTGAAAACAGCTTGGTTTTGGCACAAAAATAGACAGGTAGACCAATGGAATAGAATTGAAAACCCTGATATTAACCCACACACGTATGAACATCTGATCTTTGACAAAGAAGCTAAAAATATACAATGGAATAAAGAAAGCATCTTCAACAAATGGTGCTGGCATAACTGGAGGCTGGCATGTAGAAGAATGTGGATCGATCCATGTCTATCAACATGCTCAAAACTTAAGTCCAAATGGATCAAAGACCTCAACATAAATCCAGCCACACTGAATCTCTTAGAAGAGAAAGTGGGTGGTACCCTTGAATGAATTGGTACAGGAGACAGCTTCCTGAACATAACACCACTAGCACAGACAGTGAGATCAACAATGAATAAATGGGACCTCCTGAAACTGAGAAGCTTCTGTAAGGCAAAGGACACAGTCAGCAAGACAAAAAGGCAGCCCACAGAATGGGAAAAAATATTCACTAACCCCACATCTGACAGAGGGCTGATCTCCAAAATTTACAAAGAACTCAAGAAGCAAGTCTCCAAAACACCAAAGGATCCAATTAAAATTGGGTTGCAGAACTAAATAGAAAATTTTCAATAGAGGAGTCTAAAATGGCTGAGAGGCACTTGAGAAAGTGCTCAACATCCTTAGCCATCCAGGAAATGCAAATCAAAACAACTCTGAGATACCATCTCACTCCTGTCAGAATGGCTAAAATCAAAAACACCAAGGACAATTTATGCTGGAGAGGATGTGGTGAAAGGGGAACACTCCTCCATTGCTGGTGGGAGTGCCAACTTGTTCAGCCACTTTGGAAATCAGTATGGAGATTCCTCAGAAAAATGGGAATAAACCTACCACAAGACCCAGCAACTCCACTCTTAGGCATATATCCAAAAGATGCACATTCATACAACAAGGACGTCTGTTCCACTATGTTCATAGCAGCATTATTTATAGTAGCCAGAACTTGGAAGCAACCTCGATGCCCCTCAACCAAAGAGTGGATAGAGAAAAAATGTGGTGCATCTATACAATGGAGTACTATTCAGCAGAAAAAAAACAATGGAATCCTGAGATTTGCAGGCAAATGGATGACACTAGAAGAAACCATCCTGAGTGAGGTAATACAGTCACAAAAAGAGAAACATGGCATGTACTCTCTCATATATGGATTTTAGACATAGATCTGGGGAGTGCCAGCCTACAATCCCATGGCCATTGAGTCTAGGAAACAGAACCTTCATTTAGTGGCTGATGGAAGAAGAGGCAGACTCCCACGGCTAAGCACTGAGCTGAACTCAAGAAAGCCAGTAACAGATAGGGAGGACTGATGACCAAAGGGATTAAGACTGGGCTGGTTTAACCCCCAGAAACAGCTGACCTGACAAGGGTTAACTCTTGAATCCCAGGCTGATGCCTGGGAATCCAGCATGGGACTGATCAAGACCCCCTGAATCTGGGTGTCAGTGAGGAGGCCTAGGTAATCTATTGAGCCTTGAGCAACAGATCAGTATTCATCCCAAGTATACACATGGACTTTGGGCTCCTATCCAACAATGTGAGGTGCACTCTCACCCTGGACTCTTGGGGAAGGGTCTAGACCCTGCCCTATATGAAATGACAGACTATGGACACCCCCATGGAGGGCCTCACCCTCCATGGGGAAATGAGGGGATATTGGAGGGGGGGTAAGGGGGAGGGCACGGGAGGAGGGGAGGGAAAGGGAGAGGGACCTGGAACTGACTTGTGAAGCAACCTTGTTTCTAATCTAAATTTAAACTGGAAAATAAAAAAAATGTAACAACAAAAAAAGTTAGCTTGGTCATGGTGTCCCTTCACAGCAACAGAACAGTGAGTGGGATACGGGTTAGCACCCTGTGCCAAGGGTTGGGTGGGGGATCTTGGGATGCATGGAGAACCTGCTTTCTTTCCTTAGAAATCACCAGTGTTTCCATCGATTGTCCCCTCTGGGGGCTGGGCTCACGGGTGTCACTTCAGAAAGAGTTCCTGTTCTTTCCTGCCTCATCTGTCACATTTTGGCAGCACATCCCTGGAGCACAGAAAACATCCAAGTCCACTCTCTTCCCAGATCACACTCTATTTATAATCATCTCGTCATAAAGCTGAGAGCCTCAGAGGACTTTGGGAGGCAGCCATGCCCATCCCTTGTTTTTATACCTGAAAACACAGGTTCAGACAGGTTGACTGACTTGTTCACATCACACACTTGGCAGGAACTTCACTCTCTCTTTCCTTAATGCAGAATACCTCTTCTCTAGTTCAACCTGTGGATCCCTAGAGGAACCTATAGTTTTAGTCTAAATCTCACCCTGGCCAATAGAATCACGGAAGAGAAACTCACTTGTAGCCTGCACGCTTCCAGGCAGCAGCATGCAGGTGTTTCAGATGTTAGCATGTCTGTGGGTATCTTCTCCACTTCTCAACTACCCTGCCTCACTGTCCTCCATCAGCAGAGCAGGGACCCCTGTCTGCCTAGAAGTGAGGGTCCTCCGTGCGGGCATAGGAACTCTGTGGACTTCTGTGAATGGCTGGAGGGAGGGGACGGGACTGAAGCTGAGTCGGGGGCTGGGGGCTTCAGGAGAGTCAGGAAGGCCTGCGTGGAACAGGACCCTGGTCCCTGTCTCTTGGCAAGGGAGACATGAGTCATCTACAGCTTCCAACCGACTAATGCACAAGTTCATTCCCAGAGGAAATCATTACTCTAATTATTATTATTAGGCGTAATGACTAATTAGTAAAAATAGCTACCATTTACACAGTGCCAACTTACGGCTGCTTCTTAATGTGTATTTTTTCCCCTATTTTACTCTTTCAGGATTATTTTCTATTTTTCTAATTATAAAGTCAGTATGTGCTCAAGGAAAAAAATGGCAAAAGATCCTAAAAATAGAAACAAAAGGGGCAAAAAGTCACCGTTTGGCTCACGGCGGAACATTAGAGGCATTGTTAACATGCTGCTGCTTCCCAGAGTTTCTTCTGTATCCTTCCTCACACGTGTGTGTGTGTGAGAGTGTGTGTGTGTGTGAGAGTGTGTGTGTGAGAGTGTGTGTGTGAGAGTGTGTGTGTGAGAGTGTGTGTGTGTGTGAGAGTGTGTGTGTGTGTGAGAGTGTGTGTGTGTGTGTGAGAGAGAGAGAGAGACAGAGACAGAGACAGAGGAGATGGGGAGGAAGGGGAGAGACAGACAGACAGACAGACAGACAGACATCAGACATAGCTGATGGAGAGGTTGAAGCGCAGAGCCGCACCCTGAGCAGGAACTGGATGAGCAGGAACTCGCATCCCATCCTTTCCTCCTCTCCTGCGTTCATACTCCTCTGCCCACAAGGGTGAACTGGGGATTTGTCTGGAGGCGTAGTTTTGATACACAGTCCAGGCTAGCCTCCCAACGGCTAGGATTACAGGTAGTGTTCTGCCGCCTTAGGCTTGTGTGGGGATGGTTTTCATTGACTGTTGCTGTCTCAGTCCCTGTCTGGGAGAAGCAATGGCGGTAAAGAGACCATGTCACTCAGCTACTCAGTACCTGGCTACGGAAAGCGAGGAGCCCTTAAGCTTCGATGAAGACATTCTGTCAGAAACTGGAGGGACTCTGTGTTTTCTGTCCATACAGATATCTGGAAAGCTGAAATCAGAAAGCATAAGGAGCTATTGTTTTGCAAGCTGCTTTGCATGAGACAGTTGAAGTAAGTTCTACAGAGAGGTCCTGGGGGAGGGGGGAGGCCGGGCCTCGGGCGGGAGGGGGCGGGAGGGGGCAGGAGGGACCCTGAGTCCATTTCCTGCCACATGTTTGAATAGAACCAAAGGTACTCAGTGTCCTTATGTTGGCACAGACAGAAAAGTAGGTGACACCGCTTATGTGACAAGCACTGGGCACATTACAGTATCACTCCTAACACAGGGGTCTCAAAGGAGTGGTTACATAGTGAGAGAGAGAGCAGAGGAAAAACAAGTAAGCAGAAGCTCACACGCTAAACCCAGAGACAAACAAAACCCCTGAGATCAGGTTCTGTGGATTTCTTCATGTGAGGACACATGACTGAGACCAAAGTGGCGGCTGGGATGACCAACACCAGGAACCCACTGTCTAAAGGCTTTGAAACAAACCGAAGTCCTGTGCTCACCGAAATATAACCATGAAGACAAAGGAGGACACAGAGCTCTCTCTTTAAGTTTGGCACACTTTGCTCCCTCGACAGCTTCCGGCTCTTTCTAACAGTAAGGGCTGCGGGAAGAAGACGGCTGGAATGCCTTTTGTTTCCCGCCAAAGCTCACTGATTGTCTGTGTACGAGCCTATGGGCACATGTATTTGTGAACACATACATATGTGAATGTCTGGGTGTTTGTGCGAACATGTTTGCAAATGTGCATGTTTGTATGTCTATTTGAGTGTGCATGTGCTTGTGTGTGCACATGTTTCTGTATGTGGATGGGTGTGTGTTTGTGTGAACATGTTGTTCCATCGTCTGAAAGTTTCAGTTACCTCTAAGTGGATAAACCAAGGGTTGTTGAATTCTGCCCCTGAGACCTATGAGAGAAAGAGATGTCTGTGGTGCTGGGAAGGCAGAGAATGCCGGATGCAGGGAGTATTGCTGGGTTAGACCCGTGCTGTAGGACCTGGGTACCACCTTCCGTCTGACTCTGAGGGTGGTTCCACAGCCCGTCCTGTCCTCAACATGCTTTCCTGGAAGCCTCAATCCCAGGCTGCTGCACTGTTTTCCTCTTCATTTTCACTCCCAAGTCCCTCTGCCTCACTGCCCCAAATGGGTCCAACTCACACATGTCCCCAGTATGGAAAGAGGGAGACCTGCAGGTCCCTGTGAGTGCTTGGGGCTGACAGGACCCCTGCAGTACAAACAAGCATCCAGCCCCTGTCCAGGAGCCCTCGTCCCACACCCCACAGGGTGCCACGTGTAGTGCGCCCCAAGCCGAAGGGACAACATGGGCAGAGGCTCAGAAGCTGTGGGTCACAAATGACCGGGGTGTAGGGCCCTTCCTTCCACCCCTTAGGAAAGGAGCTTTTGAAGAAATGCCATCCCAGTGCCCACCAGCAGCTATGATTCAGGCTGTATTAACTGAGTGTGGTCGGGCAACCCAGAAGAGCCTGGATACCGAGGAATGCTGCATGGACATGGAGGGGCGCGGCCAGGGCTCCCTTGAGAGTCCAGGAATGCCTGGCCACTGCTCGCCCACTGTGCGCTTAGGGGAGCTTTCCCTGGGTTTCCTCTTCACTTTCAGCCTCACACCGGTCCCATGAGGCAAGACACAAGCCCCGGGAGGCTCAGCATCTCACTGGGCTGGACTTCAAGCCAGTGTGCAGTCTCCCCTACTCTGCCCTCTCCCCCAGGCCCAAACTGCAGGCCCTCCTTTCTTTCGCCTCTCCAGGGGTCCAGCCTCACCTTGGGACTCCTGCCTCTGCGATAAACCCAAGTGAGCTTCTCTGTCTCTGCTTCTCAGCAGCCCCCTTTCCCCTCCTTCCTGCTGTACATGCTCCATTAACACCCCCTCACCATCCTGAGGGACGGGAGCTTGGGGACCTGGGGAGGCAGAGAGGGCGGCAGAGAAAGAGAGAAGCTGGAATGGGGAAGAGGACAGGAGCCGTGTGAGGTCTGAGACACAGGGGCGCCCTGGTGATACCCAAAGGTGGCTGAGGCGGGCTGTGAGCAGTGTCTAAGTTTGCTGTCATTGTGATAAAACACTGACCAAAGGCAACTTGCTGGAGGAAAGGGTCTATCTGAGTTACAGGTTACAGTCCATCATTGAGAGAAGCCAGGCAGGAACTGGAGAGGAGAGCTTGGAGCGGTGCTGCTTACTGGTTTGCTTTCCAAGGCTGACTCAGCCTGCTTCCTTATACAGTCCAAGGCCACCTGCCTAAGGGTGGCCTCACCCACAACAGGCTGGGCCCTTCCCCATCAATCACCAATCAATGAAACGCCCCTGCAGGCTCGCTTACAGGCCAAGCGGATGAGGGTTGTTCCTCAGTTGAGGCTGGACTCCCAGAGAACTCTACTTCAAGTCAACTTGACAAAGTCTAAAGAGCATGGAGGGCAAACTGGGATGGGCTGGGCCTGAGGGCAAACGTGGGTGCAACACGGGGACTCGAGCCCCGTGGCCCTAACCATCCTGCCACGCAATCCCGACTCAAGTGCTGGATGTGGCCCTCCATGGGACAGGGATATGTCACTGGGGAGCTGGGGACACGGTGGTGTCCAGCAAGCTGCTGGGCTGGAAGGACTCACATGCCTGGTGTTTGTCTTCCTGTGGGCTCCTTCTGCCCGATGGCCCCCTGCCCTGTCCCTGCTACTCTCAGGGACTCTGTGACTTCACGGTGCCACAGTCCCTCTCCCAGGTGATGTGCTGAGTTCAGAAGGGGCTGCTGCCACCACACCACCCGTTTCTCTCTGGTCCCTTTGCTCGTTTCTGACAGCCGTCTTGGACTTGCCTGGCACAATCCCTGTGCCTCTGAGCTTGCCTATTGTGTTCTCTGCCAGTCAGTCTTCCCCAGCCTGTCCTCCCCAGTCTCCGTCCTCCCCAGTCTCCGTCCTCCCCAGCCTGTCCTCCCCAGTCTCCGCCCTCCCCAGTCTGTCCTCCCCAGTCTCCGGCCTCCCCAGTCTCCGGCCTCCCCAGTCTCCGTCCTCCCCAGTCTGTCCTCCCCAGCCTGTCCTCCCCAGTCTCCGGCCTCCCCAGTCTCCGGCCTCCCCAGTCTCCGTCCTCCCCAGTCTGTCCTTCCCAGTCTCCGCCCTCCCCAGCCTGTCCTCCCCAGTCTCCGCCCTCCCCAGTCTGTCCTCCCCAGTCTCCGTCCTTCCCAGTCTCCGTCCTCCCCAGTCTCCGTCCTCCCCAGTCTCCGGCCTCCCCAGTCTCCGGCCTCCCCAGTCTCGGCCTCCCCAGTCTCTGTCCTCCCTAGTCTGGCTTCTTTAGTCATTGTCCCTTTTTGAGGAGGCTTTGCCACATGACCCCTGACACAAACCATGCTCTCCTAACTTGCTCTATGTTTTTATTAGTTTCCTGTTTTCTCCCTCTCTGTAGACACCACCACTATAATTACAAGCGATTTGAGGTTTTGTATTTTGTTTTTGGGTAAGGTGTACCCCAGATACCCAGCATCTCTTGGGTGAATGAACAAAGAAATGGGGATTTGAATCATCACCTCAGCTTTATATTGGATCTTGTTTTGTTCCATAGACAACCTGTTGAGGGAGACAATATTTCCCCACCGTATGGGGTGAGAAAGAAAAGCCACTGGGTGTTTGAAGAGGCCCCACATCTGTGCACTTAGCATGCGAGTCGAATCCAGAACAGGCTGTGCTTATTAAGATCTTGTCAGCACAGACAGACAGCACCTCCCACAGACAGACAGCACCTCCCATATTCTAATAGCTATTCCTGCCGGCCCCCAAGTCACAGAAATCCTCCTGCCTCAGCAAGCAGGCTGAGTCACTCACCATACCAAGTCCTTTAATTTATATTCCTTGGGATTTCGGTGGGCTTTCTGATCATTTTGGCATTTATTTTTCAGTCTCATTGGAAAATTCTCAGCCTCTTTCCGAGCTCTTGCTGAAGGTGCTGATTTCCCACTCAGTGACTTCTTAGCAACCTCTTCAACATGTCCTTTAGTCTGTTCATTTCTCCTCACTTGGTCTAACAGGCTAATTTGTCTGTTCCCTGAATTTCTGTTTTAATCACACTAGCTTTTATTTTTAAAGATCTGATTTCTTTTTATAAAATAGGACTTGTCTGTTTTTGTTTTACAAACTTGCCGACCTGTTTTTAAAATTTTCTTTAAAGATATTAAGCGTATTTATTCTATGGTATATATGCAATAATTTAAATATTCATAGCCACTGAGTGGCTACTTTTCAACTTTGTCATTTTCCCTTTATTCTTCTCCATTTGGCCTGTTTTCCTGAGGTATAAAATGACCCTTTCTTTTCCATCTTGAACCTACCTCCTTGGGTCTTCACTGTTTTAGATTGCTTGAGTTCCAGATGTAAAGTCAGTTTCATTAGTCACATTCCCGGAAAACAGCAGCTTCGACCGTGAACGTCCTGCTTTTCAAGCCATACAGATAATGTAAATTCCAATCCCAAGTTCTCATGAAGGGGAGTTTATGGAGTCTTAAGGATGTGGTCACCACTCCTTGTCCCAGGACCAGAACATGCCAGAGAAGTGTTCACCCATTGCCCACCATGGGGCGTAGCTCCACGTGGGTGTCTCTGGTCTAACTCCTCCACTGGGTTCTGCAAACATCAGGCCCAAGCTCCAGAGCTGTGCCCACAGTGGAATCCCAGTCTCCACACCTGGGACGCTGCCTGCGTGTTCTGACGCTCTCTTACTTGCTGCCAGCTCACCTTTAAGAAACCATTTTAAACATTATCTGGCACACACCAGGAGAATTCCATCAAATGTCTAGTTGGTTATGTTCTCAGAAACACAAGACCTAGTGTGTGATTCAACAAAATGTTATGCTTGTTGATTTTTACTCTGTATAGAAACAGTCTCTGAAGGGAAAATTAAATTATAGACAGATAGCATGCAAAACATATATTTCTCATTCTACCACCAAGAAGTAACTAGTTTTCAACCTTGGTGCAGTGACTGCCTTTCTGAATAGATGTGGTTTGGGA